TTAATGAACAGCAAAAGGTGTAGTTATAGAATTTTCCTATGCCTATGCAAGTGTCCTTTCCTCAAGTGTGCAGTTTTATTTTATGATGTAAATAATGAATTGTAAATAAGCAAAGATGTTTCAGTGGCACTCTTAGTCCCAACGGGATTAATGAACTTTCTTTCAACTAATCCTTTCTTTTGTCTTTTGATTGTTTGTTTTTGTTTCCTTGCCTACCTTGTTCCTATTGGTTTCTTTTGTCTTATTCTATCATATAAACACTCCTTTCTACCACCTCTTTCTCTTTTACTCCGACGAAGGACAGGCATCTGAAACGTCAGTTTTTTCATCTTTTCACGGTGTATGATTTACCTTTTCATCATTACTGTTTCAGTTATACAGGTAACACTTATTTATGACTGGAACGTCCATGTTAGCATTTTACTATGACCATGTATGTGTCATTCCCTTGAGTATGGTTTCATATTTCACTTTAAAAACCTTTAAGATCATTAAAATCTAAACTCTGACTTCACCTTGTCTCCTAGTTTAAGGATTCCAGTTTGCTTGTTTATTTCATTCAACTTCTTTTCAATGTGCGCACTACAAGAAACGAGAAATGTGTTAATAAATAGTACAAGAGGTAAATATACGGATAATGAAATGTCTTTCCAACAAGAATGACGGTTGATCATGGTATTGTAAATCATAATAACCAAGGCAGATAAAACTGGCGAGGTCTTGATATGTAGTTTACAATATTGTGAAAACTGAATGCAATGATTCAAAACTTTTTATATTATACCATTCGTAAACTTATATAAAATGTAATTCTGCTTTCCAAATACATGTAATAGCAAACAACACATGTAAAAATATAATAATTTTCAGTGTGTTAATAACAGTCAATCACTGTTTTAATGTTTAAAATATAGTATAATTAGTATAATTTGGCAATAAAATTGTCTTAAATTATAAATGCTTGATATTCGTTTATGTAATATATAACAGAACAATACATGGGCACTTTGAGATATGAAATCTATCTTCTTGTTTTCAACTTCAATATTTTTACTAGTCCGCAGCACTTACTTGTGGGATATCAATTTGAACACTAGAAGATAAATCACACATTTCCACACACCCATGTATTATTCTCTATATATCTGCAGAAAAATCTACAGATAATATATTTATCATGCCGAGTTCACACAATATCAGGATTTGTCAGAGAAAATGTCCTTGTTTTGTGAGACCTTGAAAAATCCCTTGAAAGTCCCAGTCTTTATACTTTGTCCAAATTCTATTAAATAGTTTCTATGAGCATTTTAAGCATTGATTATTGCATGAATACCTGTCATCATCTTTGTTGCTGTGTCTCCTCGCATGTACAATCCTTCTTCTTGGTTTAAAAGATCCATCGACCGACAAATTAGCTATGTAAAAACACAACAATACTTTTTTTGTTGCAAAATAATATTATTCTTATAATAATTATGCATAAATATAACAAAGCACCACAGTCAGGGATCACTTTCACTTCAATCAATCAAACAACTGTCTAGTACTTTAGGGAAGGAAAATGGTTTTCAAAATCACAGGCTAAAAAAATCTTGTGGGTTGAAAATATGCTCTTTTGTAAAGAAATCTAGGCTTGCAGGAATAGCCAAACATCATGTTTTCTAAAATTTACACAATATTTACTGAAAAATTTAATAGAATTATTGTCTTGGATCCTTGTTTTTTAAATGGCCATTAATTCTTTATTTTCTCAATAATTGAAGGTCACTTAATTTTAACTTCATTATGTTTTTGGGACACTTGTTTTTTGTTGTCAAATTTTTCTGAATCGTGAAAAATTTGAATGAAAGTGTCGCTAAAATTTCATACAGTATGTTTTGAACCCAATGATAATTTTCCAGTTGAGTGTATGCTTCACTCATCACGCATAAGGGCTACATGCTAAATTCACTATTTCGGCACTAGCCGTCACAGGGTATAAATTGTTTTAGATTGTGTTACGGTCACCAAAACGTTTGGACATTGTTCTCGAATTTCTGTACAAATGTACTGACTCTAAATGAACTATTTACTTGGTTAATGTTTAGTTAGTTCTCTAAATACAAGTAAATAATCATTTTTCTAGCTCGACTGAAGCTTTTCTTACGCTGTTAAGAGAGCTAACTAAAGAAATCTACCTAAATTTTCTCTTTAAAGTCAGTGAATTTGTATGGAAATCCAAGAACGATGTCCAAACTTTTTGGTGACTGTAACACAATCCAGGCTAGCGCTGAAAAGGTGAATTACATGATTTATTTCGCCGTCAAATAACTGAGCATTATGCATGTAGCCTCACATTGAAACCTTTGTGCATGGAAAGCAAAGCATATTTCGGAAGTGCATGGGCTATTGATTTATTTTATAATCATATCACGGCCAGTTTTCGTAAAGACTGTGTTGATCTCTTGCATATTTTTAATTACTTTAAACCAAACACGAATAAAACATTGAAATACTTTAAAAATTGGAACTTCAAAACTAGAGTATTCCGATTTGTAGGATTATTATTAAGCTTTGTTGACAGAATTAGAACATAAGATTAGACAATTATCCATCTTAGAATGGGTGAACATTAAAACAAAGAAATAATAATAATAATCCAATAATTGAAAGCAAATAAATATGTTTATTTTTTTCCGGTCCGGTATCCTAAAAAATCGTGCGTTCTGATTGGCTGTTTGAGCGGGCGGTATTTTGTCAGTATCTGCCCGCGGTCGCGGTCCGGTATCCTTGGCCGCTAAACAACAAAACAAGTATTGCAATTTATTGTTTTTACTGGCAATATTTATTCACTTATTTTCTCTACAAAACACGCTGTTTTACAGTCACGTTTATCTCAGTAAGATGTCTGATGACGAGCATAGTGATAGCGAATTCTATTATCCTTTGGACTACAAAAACAATGAAAACGAAAGCGAGAAAACCAGAGAAAAGCAAAGTTTTTCAGTGGACGACGTYCAAAGTTTCATACAGACTCAGCGTCCAGAAAATACTATTAAGAAAACTCAGTATGACCTAAATGTGTGGCGAAGATACTTGTCCGAGTGGGGAGAAACTACAGAAGTTGAAAACATACCTCCACAAAAGCTAAATTTGTTGATCTGTCGTTTCTTCATCGAGATACAAAAGAAAGATGGTGAAGCGTACGAGCCCTCTACACTAACCTCTTTCCATCGAAGTCTTCAGAGATACCTCAATGATAAGCAGTCCACAGTCAATATATTTAAAGATCAAGAATTTGCCATGTCAAGAGACGCTTTAAAGTCTAAAAAGAAACAACTGGCTGAAGTAAAGGCCAAGGGAAATCTTCCTCAAGCAGCCCGTGGTGTAACAGATGAAGAAGAAGACCTCTTGTTTGCATCTGGTGAGTTTGGCGAGCAAAATCCTGA